GTGTTTATTAAGCACACTACTGGTTGGCGTCCTCCCGCATGTAAGGTACGAGGAACCAGTAGATCAGAATAGGTGCCTGCCTCAACAATGTTACTCGGCAGCTCACCGTTTACATGGCAGCTGATCTTCATCACTGAATTAGGCGGCACAGTGACTTTCTTGCGTAGTGTCACATTAGCAACTCTCGGGGCCTGCCCAACTTTACCCATAGTCATCGGTATGACCTCTTCCCCCACCCGCAGCTGTCCCTAAGACAGTCGATACAATGAGCTCTCAATAAATTGAACCCAAGTAGCATGTCGTCCCCACTGCTTTGGGCCTCCTCCTTGGGAGGGCTTGGATCTGAAGTGGAGTCCAAACTGTCCTGGGCTCCTCATAACTGGCCAGATTTACCTCAGCTTAGCCAGTCTCCTCAGAGGGGCTCAGATCTTCGTCCCTACCCCATAGGCCTTCAGGTGTTTCCCCCTCAACCTCACCCCAAGGGTCCCCCTGGTCAAGTGTAAGGACTGTCTGAAAAATAGGGTTTTCCAAGTTTATCTGCTCCCCCGAGTGGCCCTGTAAAGTACTTGACCGGAAGGACTCCTGCCAGGTTACCCGGGCATACAATAGCCCTACTAGGAGACCAGAAAACTCAAATTCCTCAGCCTGTGCCCTTGGTACATCTATCATGATTTGTACCTCCCAATGAGGCTTGACACTGCTGGATACCTAACTCAATAAGTGAATGTGCTGCTTACTCATCCGTCTCAACCCTTCTTCTACTATATCTCCACAAGCAAGCATGGTTGTGTAGTGGTAGGCCTGGGCAACCGCATTTTCCTCTACTAACGGCATACCAAAAGATCCAACATCGATGGTATGCCCCTGGTTTACCTTTATCTTCCACCAACCATTTCCCAGATCCCTCTCTAAAGTGAACCGATTGTCTACATTTGCCTCAACAAGGCGGGTGAGCCCCTTCAGGGTGCACCCTGATAGCCCTGGGTACCGGGCCAGGAGCTCAACAACATACACAAATACCCCAGGAAGTAACTTGTGTCCCAATTTATTGGCACCATGCCGTAGAACATATGACAGTGTTTTTGACAAATGACGGTCAAATCCCTGGCCTTGAGCGACCTCCCCCTCTGAATCGGAGGACGCTGTACCCTCAGCCTCTTATAGCCACTCAGGCTCTAAGAAACGGTCAAACCCTGTGTCTTGAGTAACCTCCCCTTCTGAATCTGAGGATGTTGCCCCATTAACCTGTAGGGCACTACCTCCTCCCCTGGGCATCCTGAATCCCCAAAACGATGCCCTAGGGTCACTTCCTCAACATTTGGTCCCGTATATAGCACATCCGATGAAACGTCCAACTCTATTTTCGGGGACTTACTCTGGCCTCTCTGGCCTCTGGAGCTGCCCCGTTTGAGTTTAACGGACTTGAATGTGCTTTATGAGCCAGGTCAGCAAAAGTTACTCTCTTCTTCCTTATCCGAAGATCTGGACAATCATTCCGAATGTCCCGGCTTATAGCAGTGGAAACACAGTCCTTCCTGCCCAGATTCCCTAGATTGGGACCTTCCCCTAAGTTTTGGGCAATCCCTTTTAAAATGGCCCCTCTCCACACAGTGGTAGCAATTTCCAGCTTTTGCCCGTCCGCCCGGTGAGGGGCTTCTTGCTACAGGGTGGGTAAGGAGTTTCTTGAATTGGTCCATTATGTCGTCAAGTTTTTTATGGACCTGACCAAATTTTTGTCAAACTTCCTATCCGTCTTTTCCGGCTCTGCCTTCCATGCACTGGCTTTGGCCCTCTCAGGGGCCATGGTAGCCCTTACATGGGGCACCGGATACTCTTGGTAGGCCTCAGGGTGGTCCTCATACTTGCCTGACCTCGCGCCTATTTAGCTTTCAATATATTGCCTGGGTGTTATGCTGAAATAACCTTATTTTGTCTACTGCCTTCTCAATACTGCGTGGTTGGAGGTTGGAGGCTTGCGCCTCCAACTCCTTGTTCTCAATGCCCTGGCAAAGCCGCGTTACGGCTTGCTCATACATATACTCATCAGGGAGGTTTCTAAATGCGCTGGTCGCCAAGGACAACACACAATCAGCCCAGTCCTCAAGGGACTCCTCAGGGGCTTGCCGGGCATTGTTGAACTAGACCCAGGCAGTCTCAAGGAGCGCCTTGAAACCAAACCGCTTGTGCAGTTTTTCAACTAGCTCCCTGTAACTCACCTCCGTGTCTTTTTCCGTAATGAGGGCATGGTTTTCACTTGCCTTCCCCTCAAGGCACCAGCACAGCTGATCTTTGCACTCTTGCGGGCCTCACTCACAAACCTCTGCATACCTTGAAAATTTCGTGAAAAAAACTTGCCAGTTGCCCTTCCCTTCATACTTTATATTCTTTAGGGCATTACTTACTTTCGAGGTGCTGCCTGAATTCCGTCGTGACCCACCTCGGATGTCGGGTCCCCTCGCACTTTCCCTAGGCCTATCCTCATTATATGCTACTCGGTAGGCCTGCTTGCCCATAGCTCCCCCTCGCGGTGACCTCTTGTTGGGGCACCGGTGTATACCCTTGATTACACATACCCTTGGGTTGCCTATCTACATAGGTACGGGCTGGGGTTTGCCTTGTGTTCTCGCCCCTATTGTCTTGCTACTTTCCATACCTACTACGGGGTGTCTCATACTGCCCCCCCCACCCCCCATATGTGTTGACCGGTTGGTGACGACCCCTGGCTTGTATTATAGTTTGCGTCAATAATTGGGATAATTAGATGTGCCCCCTTGGGTTAGGGCACTCTTGTCCCATGCACTGTATCCACTGGGCCAATATGGCTTGTACCCGGTGCTACTACTACCTCCGGAGTGAGGGGTGCTACCCTGCGTTGGGTCACTAGTGTTGTGGTGCCCAACTCTTTTTTCGCTGGCTGTTCCCCGTAGCCCCCGCTCCAATTAGCTGGGGTCTTAGGCCTAGCTCTAGCCTGCTCGGAATATGGACTATACTCAAGGAAGGCAGAGTCCATCTGGCTGGGCCCTCTCAAAGCCCAAGGACTTTGTCCCTGGTGCCATCCTTCTTGCTTAAATACGGACTGGCCATGCGTTTAGGATGGCGTGCCCTTGCCCTCCCCAATGTCCATTATTTGCTCACCAGTCTTAATACCTATACCTGGGAGCTGGAGCAACTCCTGGAAACTGCGGGTGTTTATGTTTACAATTGACATGATTTGTAAACTACAACAAATGATTACCCACAAAGTTTATTTATTCTAAAAAAATAAACAACAACAAACAAACAACACTCTTTTATTTAATTTATTTATTTAATAGCACAAATGCTTCTGGTAACCCGTTCTTCTGGTCTGCGGTTATCGGAACAAAACAAAACAAATATGAAGTCGACTGGTATCCTGTCCCTTCTGGGTCAAGTGTACCAGGCCACCTATCGTCTGAACAAACTACAAAAACAATCAAAGTACTGAAGTACTGAACATCGGATGACCACAAGTTCTTGAGGATGGTCAAAAGCACTTGTCTCAGAAAAGAACAACATATCTCTTAACCTGAAACTGAGGTTAATGTACAGAGATATATTTTTTTCTAGACAAGTGCGTGCGAGTATGATGAATAAATGACAGGAAATTCAACTTCACCGTAATAACTATTATATTGTAGTGATACAAATCAGTATACACTGATTTGTTGTTATATACTATATTAAAATAACAGTTACATATATATATGATTTGCATCCGTTTGTATATCATTCTATTCTACTGTTCTAATAATAGTGCAATGCAAGTGCATGGTGGACACTTTTCTGTAAAAATTCGATTTTTCTAAGATTGGATACGAGTAGGCATTCATATTTTCCCGCAAAAACAATTACAGAGTTACCGGTCCTGTCGCAAAACGTTCTTTGAGATATTCTTCCGCATGCTTTAACACAATTTTTCGGTACGTGTGCATTGATATTATCAATGATTTTTTACTTATATATATCTAACTACAAAACATTTTCACATTATTAATTTATGTTGTAAACAAAAATATTTTTATCAGTATTCAATGAAGAGATGTATTTATATCAAATGACAAGGAATGTTATTTTGCACTCGTTTATGTGCGCATATTTATCATGTTTATAGATCGGTTACAAACCCAAAACTAATTTACATAATGGAAATCTAGGCGATAGCAATACATCGGGATGACCTCAAGGTCATCGCGATGTAAAAATGATCTGCAAACAACAGGGGTTTTACCGCGCTGCAAAACCACTGAAGTGTTATGAAATAATATCTTCTGAAAAAATTACACAACAGCAGATCCCGAATGGTGAAGGCTTCCCCGAATCCCTTTCCACGGGAAGCCTAGTCCAAGCGAACGTCGCCTCAAATCTCAATTTAATCTCTGTATTGCTTATCATCCCGAAATCTAGAGCTCGCAGCGCCAATATTGTAATGACCTACGTTAAGTACACTTACGTTTTACTTCTTGACTGGTCTGTATATTCTGTGATTACACAGGATTCTCTCAGGATTGTTTGGTACGTCTGTATGATCAGTATAAACCGGAGAGAGAGAGAGAGTGTATCACGGGATTGCTGATTTCCGGTTGGGGTCTGGCGTAAAACCAAACACCAATACCACACTATATATACAGCTAATAATATGTTAGGAGACAGTTCACAGCTATAAGATACGGAACCAAATATGTAAATAAAGATAATCTAGATATTAAGTACCGAAATAGGCCAATTTTATACAAAGATAGATGCACAAACCAATAATAAACGAATGTTTACAAATAGTAAATCCAGAAACTAAAGCTATGAATTCCAGTAAAAATCAGGAGGGATATTAGTTGGTAGCACACGATTTTTCCTTCCAATTGCAGTAACTTCTAGTCATTTTAATTGAAACTTTCATGTTATTTGTTCGCTAGAGATATAGAAATCGCTGTCAATTTTTCGAGACTGCAATTGATAATATTTTTATATTTTTTGTTTATAAGATAACGATCCTTGATGTAAACAAGGAAACAAAACCAACTAATTTCACAGATTCGGTAACTACATCAATTATTCGCGGATGGTCACATATATCAAGAGATGGATTGTCAAATGGCGAACGTTGCAAATCTCCAGAAAGCTCAAAGTGTAAAGAAACTGAAGGTATTTTTGATAAAATGAACTTGAATAAAACAAAAATAAAACGCTTTTAATTGAAAAAAATTAAGGCTTATATCAGAATACTATTTTTAAGTTACACTCTTACTGGTTCACACTAAACGGACTTTATTAAAGGTAACTAAGCTTTATTGTAAGGTGTGAGCTTCTAACACAAACAAAACGCAAACAGAGCTAGATTTATTAGAAAGAACGACTGAAATCGATACTACTAGTATCTAAGTTTAAGGTTACCATCATAAATAATTGGCTTATACTATATGTATCGGTGTCTACAAAAACTCACTTGCGACATGTTTTTTTGTGATCTCAGATCTTTAGATACAGGTATAGTTGTCAGGTCTGTACCAATTGTGTCCTTTTTCCAATTGTGACATTGTGACTAAGTGTGGATTTGCATGGCGGCTGATAGTTGCTTACCCTGTCGTCGCACCCGATCTCGCTCCTTTTGAAATTCAATCGATTGATTCCCTCAGTTTTTATTTGTTACGTTGATTTGTCTCTTCCTAATCAATTTACGATATTAAAAATATTATCGACTGGATTTAGCCTTCTGCGAAATTAGAATTCTCTAGTCTTTCAGATTTATAAATATACAAGAATTGAACCATCACAGTATCCTCGCTAAAACGACATAACGAGAAACAATCTACCATCAATAACATGGAAATTTTGGCGATTCAAACAGAGCGATGAGTTAAAGACTTTCCTTTAGAATAAAATGCAAACACATCTGAAGGGGACAATACTTAGTCATAAGTTAAATAAGAACAGACATATTCTCTGACAAAAAATAAATAAACCAACGGTTCACAAAACATCATACAGGATATAATGATTATGCAAACTTAAACACACAAAAACCGCGAAAAAAGTCAGGTTTTGTTCTCAAGATGGATACTAATACACATAGTATCAATTATGATAGGTGTCATTCTTTGTATAATCAAGTTGAACAAATTGGTTTAATGTATTCTAAGTCTTGTAACCTGAATACTTGTGTATAGGACGCAACACTCGGGTATTACCTGCAGTTGTTCAGAACCACATGATAATATTAAGAACTCCGGTATTCCTGTAGTTGTTCAGAACTTCGTGATAATATTGAGAACAAGGGTATTCCTGCAGTTTCCGCATACTTTTTGTTTATTTCTGTTAAATCAATGTTCCACGCTCATTTCACCGATTTTGTACGAGCAATTCACATCTTTATAATTGCTAAACTCGTTTGAAATGTTTGCATGGAACCTCCAACATGATACGACAATACCGAACAACTTTTAAGTTCAATTATTGATGCAATTTCCAAATTTTCAGAGAGTCAGGATAGTAACCAGCTAGATGAGAGTACTCGGGATCTTCCTAGGCAAACAAACGAAACTAAAACAGTGACAGAAAATGCCCTAAAAACATCTACTGTTCCAATGAAAACAGGAGCATTTATGGAAAAATATCAGGCTACTTTGAGTCCTGCATCGTTACCACTATTTTATTATATTGCATATCAGACTATTCAGGATATGAATACTACAAACAAAACACAGGTATAATTATAAATTAAATAATATGCAAACATAAACCCCATAAAATAGGGTTTTCAAATACATCACGTATTCAATTAAATAGATATTGCTTGGCCTAGTATGAAAGTTTAAGGTCGTAAGGATGAACACTATTTGTGCATTATTATGTTTAATGAAAGTCACTAAATTAAACTTAAGTATTGAAACGTTTATATTGCGTTTAAAATTAACGGTAGTATTGTCTTGTAGCAAAAAGTGTCCATTTTCATTAGAACGCATGGAATGGTGCAGTGAAATGAACTACATTTCCTCCAAATCAAAGGGTAAAATGCCTTGATTGTGATACAAACTTTCTTGTACGAAATTAACCATGCAGATTTTCAAATGTGTGCTGAAGCCCATCTCCAGGTGCGGGATTGTCTCGTTGCGTTGAAGACCCATTGGTGGCCTTGGGCTGTTTTCTGCTCTTTGGTCGGGTTGTTGTCTCTTTGACACATTTCCAGTTATCATTCTCAATTCTAATTGAATTTATTAAAAGTCATACCTGCTTCCAAGTCGTTTTTTGTTCTTCGGAATATATCCGTGATCATCTATGACAAAGATATTTTATAACGGTCAATCGACTCGTAATGACGTCTTTACATCTTATGAGGACATAGGTTCAATAACTTCTTAGCTTGTAAGATCAACCATCTATTCAGAAAATCATGATAGGAACCGCAAGCTCTAAAATTTCATTTCAACTGAGAGATACATACTCCATTTGGAGGCGCTGCTGGAATATTAGTACATAGAAAGTTCACAATTGAAAAGCTGAAGTGATCTTTTCTGTTTTGTTCTTAACCGACTCTCAATCTAGGGGCATTTTTACCGAAAAGATGACAAATGATGAAACTCATTATTAAAATGAAAAACAACATTGTATTAATTTTATGTGTGATTTACCTTCATCACGAACGCTCAAAGCCGAATATTTCAAAGCCAAGAATGTTTTTGGACCGAAAGTTGATGAGCTATCATATGTCACAAAATGAGTCGTAAAGTAGCTTTAAATAGCAATTTTGACAATTTTTTTGCAAAACTTGAGCAGTAAACCAGTTAAACTTACGCAAAAAAACCTACCCTTCGCCTAACTAGACCACACTTGGTAAAATTAAAACCTACACTTAAAAGGAGCAAAGTGTACGATTTTCTTTCCCTACTGTTAATTTTCCTTTTTTTTGACGGTGATGTTCCTTTGGAGGCAGCAGTCCTTTTGTGGCAGTTGCTGTTTTTCAAGACATATCATTTGCATCGACTAATATTTTTTTAAAATGTATCAGTTGCGCCAATTAACGAAAAATCATTTGCGCAAATTTACCTGTGCTGATATTTATCGTACATGATAATTCTTATTAAAAGATGGTACTATAAAAGGACAATTTATGGAATTAGGGACTATCGTTGCGAGATATGCCAAAATGATTAGAAAGTAGAAGCTTTTGCTGACTATGCATTAATCACATATATTGATGAATATGCTTTGTTTCCACTCTACGTATGGACTGAAGCTCAATCAATCTGGAAACGCACTAATAATGGACCAGGGGCGTTTCATAAGCACTACAATAAAATAGTTTTTTTTGGTCTCATCCATCTGTGTTTGTATTTTTTAACAATGTCGCAAATTTTCAAGCCGCTTTTACATTTTATTGCGCAAGGATAACTCAAAAAGGAAAAGTTTGACGTTATAAGAAAAAAAAAATAACAAAAAAAAAAAAAATCCAAAAAACAGAATCATGCAAAAGTAAAAATCTGTCGTAGAGATTATGTTTGTTTTTCAAATTACAAATTTCAGCCTAATTGATAATTTAATTATGTTGGTTGACTGTAAATAGTATTATGTTTTGTTTGCATAGTTTTAAACAAGTTTCAATAAACCACTCCAAACTACTTTTAACTCAATCAATTTCAAATGCCGGTTCATTGCTTTTTATTAAAATACATTGCGGCAATCGTATACTATAATATTGGCGCATATGATACTAGGCGTTTTGAAAACTAGTGGCGCAAACGTTGCATTGGCGCACATGAGTTGTGGTGCAAAAGGACGCATTATTGGCGCAAACAGATGTCTCCCCCTTTGGCACCGACTTACGCTATTGATTTATCCCTAATTGTTCGCTATAACCGTGTCTGTAGAGAGGTTTTGATTTCAATGAGCGTAATCTATGTACTACTGGTAAAATTATCAGGGGTTTCTTTACCACAAATTACTTATAACCTTTGCTAAATTCTGCCATAGATATACAAATTTGGTTTGTAAGTAAGGTTGTAGATGTAGAAAACTTATGTCAAACGGAATAGCACATCCTAATTTTTACGGTGATGTTGTTACCGAGCCAGAAAATTTAGATACGATCAGGGTAAACTTATCAATTCTTAAAATAAACTTATTCTGAAAGGTTATCAATTCTAAATCCATTGGATGTTGGATGTGCACTGATTGATATTTTAGTCTTAGATACATGCTTTTGAATAAGCGGTTATTGGCTTTGAACTAGTTGTCAGTAACTGCGAGAACTCTCAGATCTGTACTTTGTGTCTTTTTTTGTTTGTAGGAATGTATTAATACCCTACCACGTCCGGCCTGTGTTTTTGTTATATATCTTTCTGCTTTGTATTAATCTGATGAGTTAAGCCCCTTTCAAAAATGTTTATAGTGTGTTCGTATATTGTACTGTTATAACACTGTTCCAGGTTAGGGGAGGGTTGGCGCCTTCAAACATGTTTAACCCCGCGACATTCTATATGTGCCTGTCCCAAGTCCAGAGCATGTAGTTCATTGGTTGTCTTTTGTTCATGTCTGTCATATTTGTTTTTCGTAAATTGTTTTGTTAAAAATAATTCTATTAGTTTTCTTATTTTGATTGTTTCACATTTATAGCGGACTTTTCTGTAATGGTTTTACTCATTGTTGAAGGCGAACGGTTGCCTATAATTGCTCACATTCACTTAATTTGAACTTTGATGTATAGTTGTCTCATTGGCAATCATACCACATCTAATTTTATATTACCAACAGGATGGTAAGTAGCTTGAAAAATAAAATGAAAAACGGCACATAAGTTTAAAAGCAGGATTTAAATGTGAATATTACTACAGGCCAAGGAAGTTAGCTAAAGTAGCTACATATAATTTTTGGATACTGTCGCTCAAGAAAAAAGAAATCAGAAACAACGCTCCATCAGTGAAAAAGGTTTTTAAAACTTAAATCTCACCATGATGAAGTGTTTGTCTATTTGTTCATTTTTCTCTTTTTCAACAGAATTTTAAGATCCTTTTAAAAGAAGCGATTATTGCTGATAGACATGAATATGTGTCTGTTTTGTTGGAAGGGGATAAGGTTCTAGTAGGTTCCAATCAAGTTTCGGATATATATCAGGTATGTAAACAAGAATATTTTAAACTTGACCAATCTTATAATAAAATGATTGAACAAAGAATAAGTAAGTTCCCATGTTCAATCATTAATTGTTGACATTTACATACTTTCCATGCACTTATCTTGCTTTCAATTATGATCTGTTCAGAATTTATTTTAGGCTGTTAAAAAACAAAAATTTAGCTGTTCCAAAGCATAAAACTGAATTGTCTAAATAGTATACGCAGAAATTTGCCACAGTAATAATATATGAAAAATAATCGGAACTCTAAACAAGACGTTTCGTGTTATATTCTTCCATGTCTAATAATGTAAAAAAGTAAAATGGCTGTATATATATTTCCCAATTCAAAGTAAAACAAACTATGACATGCTTTTAAATCAGATGATTTAAACTTATAACAGTGTCGTCTTCAGATATAACACATTTAGAAGTTTTACCTATTATCACAAACAATATAAACGTTTTTGTCGAGACACTGAAAGTTTTTTTTTCGAAAATCAACCTTTTGACATTCATTTTCAACATGAAATGTAATTATGTCTAATATGATATGATCAAATCAGTCCAAATACGGATACACCTGTATATGTACAAGTATTACTGGATGCAATTTTAACTGAGATGTTATTTGCTGGCTGTTTCTGTTATAACACTATTTTAACGTTCATCTTATTTTTTTTAGCTTGATTACTTGCGATAAAAAGTCAACCTTTGTGTTGACTAAAATCAATATAATGAAATAAATGGTTCCTAACATCTTAAATACTTCATTTTAAGAAAACACTTCTTCAAAATGGAATGGCAGCCGCTAAGACTGATTTTCAAGGCGTATTCAAGGTAAGTGCATGATCATGAAATTCTTAAAGATAGAAAGATTTAAGAGTCATTGTTTAATTGTTCATCAAAGGATGTCTCTCTTGTAATTTGTTTAGGCCCTAACAAAATTCACCGTTCGTGAGGCGTTTAAACTTTTTTTTGCAGTTGTTATTCTTCATGTAATTTGTCCTGCGTGTACATTGTTGGAAATATCTTTTCTTTCCGCCTATAACGTGAGTGTACCCAAATTGCACCTATTTTGACAGTTTTTTCACCTACGTTTATTTATAATCCAGACAAAAGTTTCCATTCTGTGTTTATTATGTAAATGAATCCTTACTTACTATATAATATCGTTCCACTAATTTAATTTTGAATCCGAATTGAATCATAGAAAAATGAGTTTGAACCGACCTCTAAACGATCCATGATTCTGTAATATTGCATCCATGCTTAATTTCACATCCTTAAAAATCGAATAACAGATGTTTTGTTTTATTTCTTAAAATATTTAGAACACTTTGACATTAGTCCATGCTTACTTTTCATTTTTTTAAGAAATGGATGCTCGTAATATATTTTATTTGCTCATTTTTTAAAAGATAACCTTTTTGTGGACGTCGCATGGAGGCGTTTCCGAAGTTTTTACTTTTTCCAGTGAATACTTCATCTGTTGATATATACTGTGAACGTTTTGTGAATATTTAAATATATCAACCTGTTTTAAAGACGTGCATTATGTCAAATAATAATAAATATAAGTTGTTTAGTCTATAAGAAAACTTGTGAGATTTTCGCTGCTATTTTTGCTAAATGTGAATGTGTGCAATTTGGGTACTCGGTGCAATTTGGGTACTGTGACGTTATATTTATTGAAAATCCTATGCAGTATTTCCGAATTATTTGCCCTGTTCATTTTTCCCTTCCAAGTTATTTTACAAATATCTACATGTGTCCTCTTGTTGACTTAATAATGTGGAAATGTTTTTGCATTTAACGATGAAATTGTCGGACAAAATATTACAGTATTTGTTAGATAACGTTGCCAATGTCAATCTGTTGATATTACTCGGCATTTGTTTTCGTCAATTCTCATTTGTAGCGTGATCGGCAGATGTTTGAATATTTGGTGTTAAATTTAATCACAACTGTATTAATGCAGGAACCGGAACGAGTTACAACTTGACATATTGTATTGACATTGGATTGTTATTTAAGGCTGTATGCTGCCCTTTAGATGTCTTTTGGTACATTTTTGTTGTAATCTCAAAGTCGTTTAACAAATATCTCTATTTAGTGATATCTAGAAAACAAATTCTGTTTTACCCGATGATGGGAGCTATATTGAAATTGCTCTAAGGTATCAATAGAAATAAGAAGATGTGGTATGAGTGCCAATGAGACAACTATCCATCCAAGTCACAATGTGTAAAAGATAAACAATTATAGGTCAAAGTACGGCCTTCAACACGGATCCTTGGCTCACACCGAACAGCAAGCTATAAATGACCCTTAAAATGACTAGTGTAAAACAATTCAAACAGGAAAACCAGCGATCTAATCTATATAAAGACGAGAAACAAACGAGAAGCACTTATGAACCACATCAACAAACGACAACCACTGAACAACAGGTTCCAGACTTAGGACAACTCTGTTTGTGATTTAATTTTTTTTCCATGAGCTGAAAATCAATATAACTACAGATGCAACATCCTTCTGCTTTTAAGTTGTCCAGTTTTTATTCAACATCAATATGATTATAATCCTACATCCAGATAATAGGCTAGTGTTGACCAAGCATAATATGTTTTAGTTCCTTTATTCAACTTCTTTATTTTTCGAGACGTTATAATTAGACGACAAGAAGTTTGCCAGAGGCAATAATTGATTATAATTTGTCAATTTTCTTCTATGAAATTTATGAGATCAAATCGTATTACATCTTAAATGAATAACTTGTTAGAGACTGTCTCTAGTTAATCCTTATTTGGTAGTTATAGAGTAAAATGTCGACTTAGAAGGCTTATTGGTTCCACTGAAAACTTTTGTGTATTACATGCATTTTATTATCTTAATACTGTTCAAGTATCAACATATATTATTAATAGGAAAACGAGATAACTAAAGGATTAACGTGAATGTGTTCAACTCAAGGATTTTTATTTATATTTAATTTTTGGAAGCATGTCTACCAAAGAAAATTATTGATTGTTATTAATCCTCCTTTGAGAGTAACAGTCTAGATGCTTTGAACTTTACAGAAGTTATGATTGGGAGAACCTGCATCAAACTTTCATTGTTGATTTACAATTCCACACTGAAAATACAAGTTCATATCCCCATCACATCCTTAACTCCTTCGTCCTGAAATAATACCAAAGGGACATTCAAAACTCATAAGTAATTAAAAAGGCAATGGCAAAAAAAACAAAAAAAAAAACACAAAAAACACAAAAAAAAAAAAAAAAACCGCAAAACGGCGAAACGGCGAAACGACTAACAGTAGTCTGCAACTGCTGAATAAAAAATGGTATCATTAATGTTGTTACTACAAAACACTACACAGAAAACTAAAGATTGAGCACTACATACCCAAACAGAGACAGGAGTGATCTCAACTGCTCTAATTGTGTTAGCGGAATCGGTTTGACATGTAGCACCCATCGTGTTGCTCATGAAAATGTTCTCTGAACTATTACCATAATATACCATCATGAATTTCTTCTTTGGGTTTCCCATGTGAAATCCTACACTTTACTATAGCTTTATCGAGGAATGTCTAAATTGTATCAAGAACCCCTCAATTCAGAATCAGCATTTCTTGGACTGTTCTCAGAATGTTAACCGAATATTACCATTGTGGTCTTTTTTATTACTTGATCTGAGTTATTGTTACAGTTGGGATTTTCCTTATATATCTTTACTCACAATAAATCTAGCTTTGCGAAAAATGATGTACATTTTCTGCACGTAGTTTCACAGCATTATTCGAGCTTTTGAAAAATACAAACAATATTGAAATGCCATGTATAAATCTGACAAAATATGAAAAATTCCCAGAAATAGCCTTGATTGCAACTTGACTTTCAGAAACAGCGTGATTATGGAACCCTCAACGGAGTTGGGGTGACGTATTCTTATTCTACGTTTCTTTTTTTCTTATTTTTGTTCTTCCACTTTTTTTTGTCCAGCTTATATCTCGGAATTTTATGAACCAATGTTAATGGAACTATACAATATTGTTAACCAGCATGTGCAGATTTGCAATCGGGGTATGGCATTTTCAAGATGGCCGCCGTTACCATGGAAACAGCAAAAATGTCCGAAAAATCAATATGCTCCAAAGTAAATGAAACTTAACACAAATATTGACTGGCATACGCAGATGTCCCGTTTAACTTTGGAATTTCCAAAATGGCCGTTGTTACCATAGAAACAGCAAAATTTCAAAAAATTCAAAATGCTCCAAACTAATTAAAACTTTACAAAAATGATAATTAGCATGTGTAGATGTGCTCTTTGACTTTGGAATTTTCAAAATGGCTGCTGTTACCCTGGCAATGGGGGAAGGGTGCCATCCGTTATTGCTAGCAATTAAAAATCTAGTTTTAATTAAGAGATAACTGTATTGTATTTGAAGCTTTGCGGACGTCCATCGGTAGTTTTACTGTCGCAAATTTAGTTTACCTGGCGACGTGTAGCGGAGACAGGTAAACGGGTATTTGCGACAGTAAAACTACCGATGGACGTCCGCAAAGCTTCAAATACAATACAGTTATCTCTATTCTAATGCAAAACAAGTACATAATTCAATTTCAATCATTATTTCAGTGTAAAATTCTCATTAAAGAAAATTCCGCGAAAAGATGTTATCTTCTTTGGCCCCTAAACTAGGTGACGTCATATGTATGCTTCCGGCGTCAAACGTAAACACCGGGCGTTTTCTGGCTTCTTGGCCGCTTCAGAATGTAATTAAATTTGATAAAAAGAAGATTTCTAGGTGCAACATGTGAGTTTTTTTGCTTATTATTGTAAAAATTGCATGTCAATACATTCCGCAATTCAAAATGTCGGCTGCCTTAGTTACAGACAAGGAGATAGAGAATTTTACGCTTACTGTCATCCAATCAGAACCATTGATACAAAATAATTGCATTAGAATTATTATTTTACCATCATTTTATAAATTATTGTCAAATTGAAAATCGAAATCTTTACAAAGACACAGTAAACGATAGATTTTAAAAGCAATTTAATTTCAGATACTCATAAATTAATTTAAAGCAAAATGGGAAATTATTCTATTTATTTCAGTGGGCCTCAAAAAGAGCAGTAGACACATTAGAGAAAGCGTACAAACTCAAAGAAAGAGAATATGATTTGAAATGCATTGACCTTTCAGACAAAATAATTGGCATATTAAATAAAATTATAGAAGATACTCCTGATACCGAAAATTTATTCGAAGAAGATTTAGAGAAGATTAAAGAGAATTGTGAAACATTTAAAACAAATTTAAGTGGAATGAACAAACAAACACGCAAAGAAAAAATATCTGCTGTAGTATCTAGCATACAAGTACTTACGAGTAAAATGTGTATCATAGCTGGTAGAAATATTTGTCAATCACTGCTGGAATATCCAAAAAGTATGTATTTAATCCTACTTATTTTTCTTGTTACTATTAATGTAAATGGCGGTTATATATGTCAACAATACCGTTTAAAAATAATAATTGAGATACAATATATAAATGTAACAGTAGTTTTTCGGTCGTTCAAATCTCATAGATCGATTAAGAAGACAAACCAAGGTAACACGCATAAACTAAAAAGAAGAAAAACCGGTTGCCTCGACAAGGTAAATGTATCATTATTTACATCCATCAACCCCTATGCGATTCAATCGATCAGCCAAAATGTCACAATCGACATGTTAATCCTAACTTAGTCAAATGTCAAAATCGTGGATAGGACAATATATTTCATTTCGTTTGAAAATGGGTTTTCCCGTTTGGTATTTGTATTAATTATATATAGATGGGAACTAGTGTAACTAGTTCTGAAACTAGTTCTGCAAGAGTATGTACTATTTATAAAGTTTGATGGTACGTGCACAAGGCACGAGAAAAGTTTTGGCGGTTTCTACGGGTGGGGTTTTATGTTACTATATAAAGTTTGGCATTTAAATGTATTAGTATCGAAGGTGCTCGCAGTTACGTCGAATCGTCACGAAGTAAGTCACATTAGTATACGTTTATGATGTCCGATACTGGTTCCGACCATGATGATTTGAGACAGTCCAAAAGTAAGGAGAGTACATCCAATACCGAGTTGTCTACTGATGGTGCTGTATCGTTGTTTTCAACAGTTTTAACAAACGCTCTAGAACAGCAGAAAGTTAATTTAATCAAACATTTTGAAAACCAATTTGTACAACCAGTGAAGTCAACCGGTGTTTCGACTCCAGATTTCGTTTTCAAGAGAGAGGGACATCGCATCCAGTACTTATTCAATACAGAAAGGTCCGACACGATTTCAAGAATAGAGAAACTGATTAAGTCCAAATCGTACGTACAGGCGTTGGAGGTGTTAGCAGAGGAAAAAGAAACGCTGCGGAAGAGGAACAAAATTCTGAAAATCGGCGACAAACATGGATGGGACACCGTTAATGAATACCTTGATAGTCCTTTGGCTGACGATAAGGACGATGCAGCTAATTTGCGTTCCGCTATTGCCAGTGCTTCTAGAAAAAGGAAAAGTTCAAAACCGTATGATCGGCCCAGCAATAAACCTACAGAAAGTGGAAATAAATTCAACGCAAAGAATTTTTTTCGTGGGATTAGTCAAAGCAGTGGATTCGGAGAAAGTACAGGGCAGTCACAGAACAGATCCGGGAAATGCTTTTATTGCAATCAACAAGGACATTTCGCCAGATTCTGTCCATTCAAGGCAAGTCCGTCAGCAACAGTCAGCACGGCCCCAAAGGAACAAGAAAAGTCACAGTAAAGAACAGACGTTAGATGAAAATACAACGAATGGAGTTGAGTATAATTTTGACTTTATTAACAATTATGAAATTAAGTCTGGAGATCAAATTATTAACGTTAAAGGGAATTTAAAAAATAATGTGTTATTTTGGAAATCTGTTTTACAGGCAAATGATTTTATCTTAAATACGATAGAATTTGGCTATCGAATTCCATTTTATACTGAACCATGTTGTATTCATTTACCTAATAACAAATCAGCTCTTAAGCATGCTACTTTTGTTGAAAAGTCAATAGATGAACTTCTTACTACTAATTGTATCAATGAAGTAGAGTGTCCACCTTTTGTAGTAAATCCGTTAACTGTTTCAGTACAAAGTTCAGGTAAAGAAAGACTTGTACTAGATTTGAGACATGTAAACAAATACGTTGAAAAACAAAAGGTTAAATTTGAAGGTGTTAATGAAGCATTATCTTTTGCACATAATTCAAAATACATGTATAAATTTGATTTAAGGCATGGTTATCATCACATAGATGTGCATTGTGATCATCAAAAATTTTTAGGTTTTTCATGGAAATTTGGCAATAAAATCAGATTTTTTACTTTCACAGTTTTGCCTTTCGGTTTATCATCAGCAGGTCACATTTTTACTAAAACGATCAGAGTTTTAGTAAAATATTGGAGAGCTATGAGTATTCCTATTGTGGTTTATTTAGATGACGGGTGGGGAACTGCAGAAAATTCAGAAATTTGTGAAAATATGGCTTTACAGGTTAAAAGTGACTTAGAAAAATCTGGTTTTGTTATAAATAATAATAAGAGCGTATGGACACCAGTTCAAATTATGGAATGGCTAGGTTTTAATTGGAATTTAGAAGAAGGAACTTTAGAAATACCTGTGAAAAAATTCGAGAATTTAAAAAACATTATATCTGCTTTATTTGAACGTAATATACATATCACTTGTAGAAATTTAGCTAAAGTGTGTGGAAAAATAATTTCTATGTTACCAGCATTAGGCAGTATTTGTCAAATTATGACAAGGCATTTACATATGACTATCTCTTGTAGAGCTTATTGGGATTCTTTTGTATATTTGAATGACAATGTTATTCAAGAACTTAGATTTTGGTATTTTTACTGTGACAAAGTTAGTTTTAGGCATATTTCATATTTTCATAGAATGCCTGAGAGAATTATTTTTTCTGATGCCAGCGAATATGCAGGTGCTGGTTATATTGTAGGTTCAAATAATGTATCTCATTTTATGTGGGATAAATCAGACAGAACTAAGAGTTCAACTTGGAGGGAATTAAAAGCAGTAAGCAATATTTTACAGTCTTTACATAATCAATTGAGTGGAAAACTTGTCAAAATTTACACCGATAATCAGAATGTAACTAAGATAATTAGAAAAGGTAGTATGAAGGCAGAGCTTCAGGACATAGCTTTAGATGTTTTTAATATATGCTTAGATAATAATATTGTATTAGAAATTGAATGGATCCCAAGAGATAAAAATATTCAAGCTGACGAATTGAGTAAAATTTTCGATTTTGATGATTGGGGTGTTTCAGATATTATTTTCAAATATTTTGATCGGTTATGGGGTCCATTCAATTGTGATCTATTTGCCGACAGTAGAAATAAGAAAGTACCTAGGTTTTTCTCAAAGTTTTTTACACCTGGTACCTCCGGTGTTGATGCGTTTGCATATGACTGGTCAGCATTTAATAACTGGATAGTTCCTCCTATTGTTTTGATTAATAGGGTTATTAATTATATGCATATATGTAAAGCAAAAGGTGCATTAGTAGTACCTAAGTGGAAATCAGCTGTGTATTGGCCTAAGATTGTGAATCGTTTAACATATCAATATAAAGGCTATATAAAAGATTTCCGTGAGTATAGAAATCCGAAATCATTTTTTATACAAGGATCGGACGAAAACAGTATTTTTGCTAAGCAACCATTTAACAGTAATGTGTTAGTGTTGTTAGTTGATTTTACTACTTAGTAATTTAGATGATTATCTATTTAGATACACTTATATGTGTGTATGTCACACAGTGTGAAATGTTTACTTGTGAACAATATAGTTGTTCTGTGGCATAATATACAGTATTATGATGGACTATGTATGAACTTTTATGAGCTATGTTGCACAGTGTAACATAAAGAATCACACAGTGTGGTTAGAAGTTGATGTATATAGATATGAGATGTATATATTTATAGAAGTTTAATGTTTATCTAATTAAGATACATGTATGTATGAAGATTTTAATTGGGTTTTTTCTATTTACAGACTCAATGGAAACAGTTCGAGAAATTAGCCAATGATTCTAGATTTGCCAAAATTGTCAGTGCATTACCATCAATTGTGGAAGCGTCTAGTTCAAAATCTACTGTTAAAAAATATAAATTTCATTTTGGAAAATTTCGTCTTTGGTGTTCCGATTGTCAACTTGAATTTTCTCCGGCTACTGCAACTACAGTATGTTTATATATCGGTTCACTGATACAGCAAGGTGTTAGCGTGTCCGTTTTAGAATCTAACTTTTATTCCATTAAATGGTATCATGACATTAACTTTAAATACAATCCTTGCTCTGATAAGTTGTTATCTAATATTTTAGAAGGCGGTCGTAGAATTTTGAGTATACCCATCAACAAAAAAGAGCCTATTACTACAGACATTTTAAAGTTAATTTTTTCTAGATATGGCTCTGAACATGATTTGTCTAAGTTAAGAGTGTGTTTACTATGTCTTCTTGGATTTTCCGGTTTCTTGCGCTACAGTGAGTTAGCAAATATAAAAAGAAATAACATTGTTTTCTACGATACTCATGTTGAGATTACTATCAATAAGAGTAAAACAGACATTTATAGAAGAGGAAACAAGGTTATAATCGCTAGGACCGGCAATGAAATGTGTCCTGTTAAGTGGTTAAAGATTTATTTGAAATTAGCTGGTTTAGAATCTGATTCAGACTATTTTATTTTTCGTTCTTTGTCATTTTTGAAATCACAAGGTGTATACAAGCTAAGCAAAAACAATACATCCTTATCGTACACTAGAGCTCGTGAGATATTACTTAAGGCATTGGAAGATATTGGTTTGGATAAATCTAAGTTCGGGTTACATAGTCTAAGAAGTGGAGGTGCTACCTCAGCAGCTAATAACGGGGTTTCTGATAGATTATTGAAGGCGCACGGTAGATGGTCATCAGATCAGTCAAAAGATGGTTATATTAAGGACAATTTACATCGTCAGTTGGTAGTATCTTTGAATCTTGGCATCTAATTCTGAACTGTTTCATTTCCTTTGTTTCGATGTTACTGCGAGCAACTAATCCTATTTCTGTGTTTGTTTTGTTTAAAGCCTATTGAATTTAGAGTAGAAATACTTTAAATTCGGACGAGCAGGGCGAGGGAGAATTTAAATATATTTCATTTCGTTTGAAAATGGGTTTTCCCGTTTGGTATTTGTATTAATTATATATAGATGGGAACTAGTGTAACTAGTTCTGAAACTAGTTCTGCAAGAGTATGTACTATTTATAAAGTTTGATGGTACGTGCACAAGGCACGAGAAAAGTTTTGGCGGTTTCTACGGGTGGGGTTTTATGTTACTATATAAAGTTTGGCATTT